GACTAAAAATAGTTGTATCGTTCATAATTTATAATAATCGGAAATTGTTTGTACCTTTGCGTCGATTATTTTTACTTATTTTTTAACAATTTTCTTAGCTCTATTTCAATTCAATTGTCTTTATCATTTATCATTTAAATTATTAGTTTATAATTTAAATTTCATGTTTTCGAACAAATATTTGTCTTCAACATATAGATACTAAATATGTGAATATATAAAATGTATATACTGAAATCTGAATAAATTATGAACATCGATCCTACAAGAATCTATAGGATTAATAATTTCGATGGAAGCGAACACAACAAAAACTTTTATATATTCATGGGGTTATTTTATCTGTTATTATATTATATCGATACAGCGATGTCACTGAAACATTGTGCTGTAATGTCGTTCCCACAACTGGTGGAAAATCAGCTCTGAAAATAACTCGCACGTACGACGAGCCCTACGATCTTGGCAGGAGGCCACGTGCGGTCTACGCTTTTAGCCCTGAGCAAAAACGATTTGAGCTTTTAGGCTTTTTCCTTTCCGCAATGGGTTTACTTTTAATTTTCAAACGATTGTCTTCAAATGATTGTCTTTTCGAATAATGATTCGCAATGGCTAAAAAAATAACATGTTTATTTTGTTATTTGTGAGCATTTGACATCGAGTTCATATAGTTGTTGAATGATTTTAGTTATATTTTTACCACATTATATAAAAATGCTCGAAATTCACTAGACAAACGAATTTTATGTAAACATTTAGAAACTAATTTAGAATTCTATATAAAATTAAAACAAATATTTTTAGATTCTTATAAACTCTAATTTGTTCTGCGGTAAGTTACTAAATGAGTCGTTTATTTTGAATGTGGCCTTCGTTTTTCAATTTTTTCCGGTCCTTATGGCTGCGTGTACAACTTTAGGTTATTTATCAGTAAAGCTTTTCAGATTGCTTATATATATATATATATATATATATGTGTGTGTATATATATACGAGCAAATACGATATTTCTTGACACATAACCTAAAAAATACAAACATAATATTAACTATTATAATATTTACTATTGACAATGTCGAAAAGTAGTTATGAACAAAATAGAGATGAGTAGTAAATTGTCTCAAAGATATGTAAAATATATTCAGTATTGTTTTTTATCTGAAGCATCTTAAATTGTGTTGATTAGACAAATTTTATATTGAATGTCGAATTTTATATTGAATCTGGTTGTTAATTTTGAAAATAGCATAACTCCAAACACGAAAACGCCCATTATTAACTTAATAATTGCCACCATTTTAATAAAAACGCAAACCCTCAAATATCTCGATTATGAGATAAATAAACTCGGGCCATTTTTAAATTGAACGGCTCAAATATTTTTGTATGTTGATATTATACTTCATGAAGGAATAGTGGAATGAACAAATTCAGTCATATTACGATAATTATACGAGTATGAAATTTTAGCTTAATTTCAATCATACCATGTATCCAACAAAGTTTTTTTTTACGCCACATATCCAACGGATAATTTTCAAATCTTCTGCAGAGGCCTAGTGTTCTCATTGTGCATATTATGATTCGCATCAACTGACAAAACGGAAGCTGCACATCAAACGTTAACACGCCAACGCGTCATAGCACTGGCCTTGTCAGATAATTTTCATCTTCAAGAATAAAACCATGAATTAACAATGGAACAAGCCAAATTTGTATGCGAATTATTTGTTTATTTAGTTATTTTAATGTGTATCTTTAACTGCTCATCGTGATTGCTTCTATTTCATAGTTATTGCGTATGTATTAAACCATGTAAGCTTCAATCGCTAATTGCAAACTCAATTGTGGCATTTTCTATTATTACATTATTTCCGACCCTAGATTGATGTATAAAAATACCACAGTCAACATACATTTGAATTATGATATATCGTAATTTGGATGTTTGAATTAAAGTTATATACACACTACATTATTACAATTTAGTTTAGGTTCTTGTAGTATTACGCTATAGACTGCAGCTTTCAAGATTAAGGTCGGTTTTGTAATGAAATCCTTTCTACTTGTTTCTACTGTTTTAATTAAGGTATTAAGCATATATCGTTAGGATATTAATACAAATAGAACCAGCGGTGACGTAATCGGTAAGGACATAGACTAGCACAAACTAATCCCGTGTTCGATCCCCCAACCTCGGCCAAACTTGACAGCGGGCAGCATAATATCAAATTTCCACCTGAGGTTATCGATCTCTTTCGCAGACATAGCTGCGTATAAAATTATAAATCAAAAAATACTATTACGTATAAGTCAGTAGTCACAACTGGATAAGACAACTACCGGGTTGTCTACAGGAAACAAGTCATATACTACATGTCTACAAAATTTTATATGGGCAGATTGAAACAAAATATATATAAAGCAAATAATTGCTTTCTTCGAACACAACTAATCGTTCCTACATTTTAAAAGAAGAGTATGTAACTATAGATAACGCAACATTATTGATTGTTAGAGTTCAACAGCACACAAGACACTTTTGCAGCAACAGCGCACAATAACACAATTGTTTGAATTATTTTTGTCTAATGTGAATATCGGTCTTTAAGCTCCGATAACAAGAAGAGCATTAATAGGTAAAATATTTTGTATCCATTACTTCTAAAATATGCAATTTTTCTGTTTCTAATATTTTTATTTTGTATTGTGAATTAATTATTATTTAACAAAATGTTTGATATATAAATATAATCATAAAACAAAATTTGAAAAAAACGCAGTTCCACGCTGGAACGCAAAATAAATGGAATTGCCCAAGCGTAACTATTATCTAGGTTAAATCAGTCAAACGACTCTTAAAACAATCTGCATATAATATTTATTAAAAAAATATAATTCGATGAGTACGTAGCTAAAATCATTTATGAATAATAAATAGTTGTTTAATTTGACTATAATATCAAATTGCAAATGTGTTGTCCTAGGAACTACTTCACAACAAAGGGTTCAATATTCTCTAAAAAAATGTATTTTAAACCCTGTTTCCTCTATCCTATCCTAATCCCAAATCCTTTGCTTTCTGTAGAAAAAACTGCTGCAACTCTTCAGGTGAAGGAGGCGAGGGTGAACAACCACCTCCTCTAGAAGGGGAAGCACCGCCTCCACCGGCAGGTCCTCCGCCGGAAGGTCCTCCGCCGGCGGCAGAAGCCCCTCCACCAGCAGCTGAAGAACCCCCGGCAGCTCCAGCCGAAGGAGAAGCAGAATGTATGTTCCTATCCTTTATCCTGGTACACTTTTGCATAACAAATAAAAATGTATTGGCTTTATTCAACATTTCTGCTAAAGCTGATGCATTGTCCAACAAACTGAAGACACAAAATGTGAAATATTGAATAGTACCCAAATACTATTTCTTTGAAATCGCAATATTTCATGCAATCAAATCGTTTATCATTATTTCGAACTACTAACATGCGCATACACATTCGCTTGACAATCGATTGAATGTTTTGTGCGCTATTATATTTTAATTTTGGTATAATTGCTTTCCGATATTATAACAGCCATTAATTCTTGATATTTTTATAAACTTTCTAAATCTTCTATTTTTCAAATAATTTATATCCCTGTGAATACAATCAAATTAAACTTAAGGTATATTTATTTTATATATTAGTCTAATGAAACTGCCATGTCTAATCTTATGCTACATATATAATTATGAGTTATTGCTTATTATTATTATATTCATACAACGCACTTTACAGTATATATTTAACATCTTACATTTTCGTAAATTCTGTGATAAATATAAACACAATTAAAATAATAACTCAATGAGACAATTAACTTTATTAATCAGGTTTTTTGACATCATTTTATCTCGCTATGCTAATAAAGTACAGATAGAATATTCATTAAATAAATTAAGATTTCATACTAATTCATACGTTGTTACAGGAAACATGTGATTACACTAATTTTCATTGCGCCGTACTGAAGCGCTCCAAAAAATCGAAACAACAAGGTAACAAAACTAAAAGGACCTGAAACCAAAATAAAAAAATAAACCCTTTCAAACAAAAAAATGACCAAAACATGGTTGAACAAAAATAAAAGACGCAAAAACATCAAAGATAGGTGAAATACTAAAAACGCTAAAAAAATCATAAAATAAATATGGATAGTAATAAGAGTAAAAATCCGGCATTTACTCTTTAATATCTGAAAAAACAACACAAAAGAGGTGCTTGATCATTTATTTTTTCATAGGAAGGAAACATATGTAATATGCACTCAGCAAATAAAAAAGGTCATATCTAAAAGGTGACTAATAAAAAATCAGAATGTTGCGTGCATAATTTTGCACCTTAACGAAGCAAGATTGTATCGTACTACAAAACAGAATATTGTAAACACCTTTATTTAGAACGTTATGTAACAAATGCCAGAAAACTTCTATGGAAATTGGCCATATAGACAATTAACAGTAAAATAGACAATAGAGTGCATTTGGTTGCCGTTTGACAAAGTTAAACTTGTCTATACAATCAATTAATATCAGTTGGCACGATAATCGTTAAAGTCAACAATAGTCACCAAAAATAAAAATTAAAAACGTTTCAAAAATTAAAAATATATTTTATTGCACACAAACTACACACGGAAACGAATACAAATTAAATCGTACAAATATTTTTTATGAGACCAAAAAAAAAAATAATAAAAATCATTTATCAAAAAAAATGGAATAAGCGTTTGTAAAAATATATTCCCGAGTATAAAAATAGTATATTGAAACAAGAAAATATAAATGATCACTTCATGCCATAAAAAAGAGGGTAACTTTCTGCAAGTAAAAATAGTAAAAGAGAACTTTTGTCAACTTGAAATAAGAAAGTAAAAATGATCATTCCATGCTACAGAAAAGAGGGTAACTTTCTGCAAATAAAAATGGTTATAAAGAAGTTTCGTCAACTTGAAACAAGAAAGTAAAAATGGTCACTCCATGCTACAGAAAAGAGGGTAACTTTGAAATGGTTATAGAGAAGTTTCGTCAACTTGAAACAAGAAAGTAAAAATAATTACTCCATGCTACAGAAAAGAGGGTAACTTTCTGCAAGTAAAAATAGTAAAAGAGAAGTTTCGTCACCTTGAAACAAGGAAATAAAAATTATCACTCCATGCTACAGAGAAGAGGGTAACTTTTTGCAAGTAAAAATAGTAAAAGAGAAGTTTCGTCATCTTGAAACAAGAAAGTAAAAATGATAACTCTATGCTACAGAAATGAGGGTTCCTTTCTGCAATCAAAAATGGTAAAAAAGAAGTTTTGTGTATTGAAAAAAAAGGAAGTAAAGCGTTTCATGATATATTTAATTTTTGGTGGTGTGATCAAAAGTTAATAAAAGCCTTAAAAAAAGAGCAAAAAATAAAATGACCAAAAACAAATAAGAAAGTGTTCAAGGGACATCTGACTTATTACAAGGTCTGCATAAAAACAAAAAAAGAGAAAATTATGAAAATCATGGAAGGGTTTACCAAAAAAAAATTGAAAAATAACCCAGATCTCATGGATCTGAAGAAAACAAAAAATGAATTAAAATTATGGGCACAATGTGCGATTTAATGTGTAACTTCTAAATAATTTCGTCAGCAGAGGAGCATTTAAACAATTATATTGAATAAAATTTAAATACCTTTAGAGACGTTTTATTAGTAATTAATGTTTACTGTTAATAAGAAGTATGCTATTTATAAGTTTGCTACTAATATCAAAATAAAAATTCTAAAATACCAAAAAGCACAATAATGCAGGTTCCATTTTAGTGCGCATCACCGAGATTATCGTAAAGAATTGCAATCTAGGAAGTAATTATTTCGATAACTGGCCAAAAAAATCGTTTCAACCTAAGTAGTAAAAGAAGAAAAACCTATGATAAAAACCTAAACTATCAAACAGTAATTTTTTTCAATAATTTCAAAATTCTCAATCGAGTGTTTTCAAAATTTTAAAGCTTTTAAAAATTTTAAATCGATACGGAAAGTTCAGCAATTTGCTTTAAGCATGATGCTATGCACCATTACTATATTTCATATATTAACTTATTAACACATTAATCCCCATTTCAGTCAAATGAATCAACATACTAACAATCTAAATTTTATTTTTTATTTGACATTTAATATTTTTATTTCACCAATTATTAAATATTTTATGATTTAAAAATTTCTAGAACCAATTGGTTATCTCCAATACTATAAATTTAAAATTAAATACAGAAACCCAAAATAAATTATTATACAGTATCTACACTTTGTAACTATCCTGAAAAAAATTAGAAAGAAAAATTATCTCACGTTTTTTGGAAATTATGAGCATTTAAGTGCAACCTAGGAGAAACGTAACCGTTTATAACATTTCTAAGATTACAGTCAAAAAGAACGACACATTTGCCCCCAATTTTCAAGAATGAACGTACTTATAAAGCGTGTTGACAAGTTCGATCAAATGTTGGCGCACTTAATCAGGATTTTAAAATGGTAAAATACTTGATGATTTTATAATAATTTGTTGTTCATGAGATCTCTGTAGATTCCTAATCATGACACTTTTTCATAATATTACATGCTATAAAATGTTGAGAGATGAATTGTGGACAAGCGAGGCAGATAATGATGCCAATAATTGATAAAATAATTAATATTTAATTTCCCGTAGGGTTGTTATAGTAATGGCCGAAAATCGAAAATTTATTTTTCATTATCGTTTTAATTATTCTCTTTAATTTTTGCTCTTTTATATCAAATTCCTAATTCTATTCAACTTCTATCTTTATTCCCACTTTATTACTTCATTCCTCTCTTTAATCTCCGCGAGTTTAAAATCTACTTATCAAATAAAATTTTATTTAATTTCAAATTAACTACACATATTTTTTTATAATCTTATTATAATAAATGTTTAAATTGTTTCCCATCTGCATCAATACATCACCCTATATCTTCTATTAAATCAATATACGCCCTATATGAAGTATTTGATATTTAAGAAATTTGGACGTTTTTGAAAATAAAAATATTCTAACTATTATGATTTAATGTTACATATTCCGTATTTTCTAAACGCTGATTTTCACATGCTCCTAACATTCCTAAACTACCGCATCAATAACGTCAATAAATATAAAATGTTGAATCTTTGTTGAATCACAAACGTTGTTGTATTCATAAAAAATAACACTTATTATATACTTTCCTTTTCTATCCAAATTCTATAAATTACATACGGCAGGTTAATTATCCCGTATGATGAGCAGAGTTCAATGAAAATTCAAGATCAAGTTCGTGATATTGATTGCGCGAATGCGTTAAGTATAGGCCGAGTGTTATCTAATCTAATTGGTGATTTTTACGCATGGCGTGTGCTCAACTTACAGTTGCAACACACTCTGCATTGATTATTATACCAGTCATCACTGATATTGACATAGTTATTTAGTAATTACAATAACTGTCTTAAATCGAAAAATTAATTTTTTCATTAAATACACCAGATTTATAATTTAATATT